AAGTGCAAAAACCAGGCAAAGCCAAACAAAACGAAGTAAAAAACAACAAAAAGAAAGCCACTGGCGAAAAAATGGAAAAGCCTATAAATAGTTCAAAGTCTGTTTGTTGGCCTTTACACAAACTCATATCTTTGGATAGCTTGACTGCATTTCCCTCTTTTTTTTTTTTTTTCCTTCACCTCTTTTACATCATCCAATTGCTGTCCTTTCGTGTTTCTCTTCATTTGCTGAACAAAAAGAAGTCATATAGAGCCAGGTCAAGTGATTAAGGTTCATGGGGCAAGAGAAGCATGCTGTTTTTTGCCAAAAACTGGCGCACTGAGAAGGCTGCGTGAGCAGGTGCATTGTTGTGGTGACAAAACTAGTATCCAGTCTGCCACAAATCGGGCCTTTTTTGCCACACACTGTTATGCTTTCTTTTCAGAACCTCTACATAGAAAGCTTGATTAGCAGTCTGACCTAGTAGAACGAACTCCAAATGTTCTACCAGTCGACATTTTCATCGATTTGGGAAGTTGATGGATCTCCAGAATGAGATTTGTCATCAATTGACATTTTACCTTTTTTGAAATGAGAAAGCCACTCATACACTTGAGTTTTTCTCATAGCACTGTCCTGTAAGCTGTGTTCAACATCACAACACTTTCTGCAGTATCTTTCCTCAAGCAGGAAACAAAATTTTACAGCCACATGTTCTCTCTTAAATCAGCCATCACAAAAAATGAAGTTTGAACAAAACTACTTTTACAAAAAAATTCTCTGTAACCAGAGAACCTTCCCAAGTGGAAGCACTGGGGGCACTACCTCAAAGCAAGTTGCTCGATGTTGCCTAGCGTGAAAAAATGTGTACTATGGAAACTTTGCCCGGCCAAATATTTTTCCAAGTTTTGGGAGGGTATGCCTTCTACATATTAAAAATAATAAGGGCTCTTGGGGGTAGGGTAGGAGAGGGAGAAGATAAAGGGAAGCTGATTTCAAAGACTTTAAGAAAAAAGGGTTTTGAATTGGAGGTGGTAGCAATTGTGCAATTATGTTTGATGTAATTGCAATATGTATCTGTAAGAGCTTCCAATAAAATGATTAATAAAACAAGATAAAATATTAAAAACAGAAGTTTGACATGGGTTGAAAGAGATGAGATGATAAGGTACTATATTTTTACTACATCTTCCAGAATCAACTATACGATGAACTCTGCCTGATAACAAGGCCATCACATCCCTGGACTGTGTTTAGAGCATATTCACCAGAGGTTTAATCCATATTTGGACCCATTAAATGGATTTTGGACTTTCACTGTTATCCAAAGCCTTCTGCAAGCAGTTGTTCACAGTCTAAACTCTGATAACCATTCCCTCCTATGGATTTAGATTTTATTATTTATGATCCTTAGTTCACGCAAGTTGGTGTGCTTCTTCCCTGTACACTTAATTGCTTCCTCACATAGATAGCTACTTTAAGAACCCAGAGATATTTTTCTCTAGTTCACTCTAGAGACATCATTAACATTTTTTCATAGAGAACATTATAAATCATCCATCCTCTTGGGGCATAAGTTACTTCTATTGGTAGTGTCATTAATTTATTCAGTGGTACAGAATTTAAAATTATTAAGACAAGGAAATTATACAAGTATAGGCTAACTTCTGGCTGCAATACATGAATTATTGACTTGTACAAATTAAACTCTTAGTGACTGGATTTGCAGGAACGGTGGCAGTTAGTGATAGAATTTTAAATAGTTCATTTACAGAGGCAGAACAATACCTACCAGACTTAATACATGCCATAAGAAACATAAAATGTAAATATATGGTAGTTTCGGGCAACCCCCAAAGTAAGAGATCCAAACTAAAGTTCAAAGACTGCAAATTTCATAACCATGGGAAAGCATCTGCTTCTCACACTAGGGGGTTTCAGCCCTAAGTCCAAGGGGGCATGTTGCTTCCTTAAATGCTATAGATGAATTTGAGGTAAAGCTCAGTTCTCTTGGTGGGGTTTCCACAGCGAATCCTGGTATGGCCTATGAAGGATGTGTATCTTGAAATGACAGTCTAAAGTACCAGTAGTCTACAGCACATGCTTGGGTCACCAAGGGGTAGACAGAAACAGATCAAAGGGGTCCACTTAAGAACATAGTACCTTGTGCATTCTCCCTTTGGGGCATCTATGTATGTATTGTTAAGTTGTTTCCTGACGGGAGGTTGTTCCTCATACTTTACCCCCCAACAGAAATGTAAGCACCTTCTCTTAGACATACATGCCCCCCATCTAGACATGAATTTCCCATAAAGTTTGATTATTACTCTTATAGAAGTGTCTGTTGATTTGGGGTGACCTTAGTACAATGTCGTTGGGCAGCAATTGAATGATTCACCCCCATCTTGAGAAACTGATCCCAGCTAAGTTGAGGGCCCCTCTATCCAAGTAGTTTAAGATGTGTGTTTTAAAAGAACAAATAAAACAAACTCACTGCCATCGATCAAGTCAGTACTGACAACAACCCTATCGGACAGTGTAGAACTGTCATGACTTGTTTCATTGATGTTTTTTTAGGCAGTATGCCATTGTCTATATATACTAGTTTCTTTATCCATCCTTTTACTGATGGACATTTGTGCTGTTGCTAGCGTTTTGCTTTTTGTGAACTATGCTGCAGTGAGCATGGGAGATCTATCTTTTACTTCTTTGGAGTATCTGCCCAGCAAAGGTGTTGCTGCATCATATGGCATTTTTTTCCCCAGATGTTTTAGGGAGCACCATATCGCTTTCCACAATGGTTGTATATTCATTTTCTTTTGAGATTTCCTGCATCATTCAGTATTATGCCCATAGAATCTTTCAGTATTCAAATTAAGGCTTGAATTTTTCCTTCAGTTATTTCAGTTTAAGATATGCTGAGCATGTTCTTCCTTTTAGTTTTCTGACTTTGTGTATTTCATTATATCTTACTTCATCTTTGAACATTTCATTATAATATCTTACTTTGTCTTCTCTGGGAGCTCGAGTGGCATAGTGGTATTATTCATTCAACCGCTAGCCACAAAGTCGGCAGCTCAAAACCACCAACCAGACAGGCTTTCTATTCCTAAAAAGAGTTATGGTCTCAGAAACCGATGGTAGTTTGGTTTGCCCTTTGAAATCTTCCTATAGTTCTTTGGCCCATCTTTTTTCCCATTTACCTTAGCCACTTTACAATTAAAGAGCAAGTTTCAGAGTCTCTTCTGACATTCACTTGGAGCTTTTCTTCCTGTCTTACTAATGACCTTTTGCTTTCTTCATGAATGATGTGCCTTAATGTCATCACACAAGTCGTCAGGTCTTCTGTCATTAGTGTTCATTGTGTTAGATTTGTTTTTGAGATGTTCGTGAAATCCAGGTAAGATATACTCAAAAAGTCATTTGGGGGCTCTCGTGGACTTGTTTTCATTTTCTTCAGCTTGAACTTGCATGTGAGCAATTGATGGTCCTTTCCACAGTTGCCTGCTGACCTTGTTGTAGTTGCTAATACTGAACTCCCTCATGTCTTCCCACAGATGTATTCAATTTGATTTCTGTGTATTCCATCTGGAGAAGTCCATGTGTTGTTGAAAAAAGGTATTTGCTATGAACTAGTAGTCATTGGTCTTACAAATTTCTATCATGTGATCCCTTGCTTAATTCTATCACTAAGGCCATATTTTTTCCCCACTCTATCCAGGACCTTCTAAGGTGACCCCTTCAGAGCAGTTGCCAGTGGTAGCCGTGCACCATCTAGTTCTTCTGGTCTCAGGGTCATGGAGGGTGAGGATTGCGTGGTCCGTTAGTGCATTGGACTAATTGTTTCCATGCGTCTTTGACTTACTTTACTCCTTTTTGCTTCAGATGGGGAGAAACCAATAGTTGCACCTTAATGTTTAGAACTTAAAATCATATTCCTTATTATCCCTTGTCCTTTCATTTCTTTTTATATAATGATGTGTTTTTTAAATCAAGTTTTTACCTCTATTTCAGAAAACAAAAACAAAAGGGGTCAAGTGAAATAATACACTTTTGAGAGTAAAGAGCGTTATAGAAGTATGAGAAAGAAAATCATTATATGTGTGTGTGCTCTGTATATATATTGTATGTTGCATGTCCAGCTATCTTAGTGATATTTTCAGCTATGATTAGGAATGTACACTGAATTTTTTGAAACGACATCCTTCATTTTTTTCATAAATGCACATTGTAGGTACTGGAGCTGGCAGGAAATGCATCTAAGGATCTCAAAGTAAAGCGTATCACTCCTCGTCACTTGCAGCTTGCAATCCGTGGGGATGAAGAGTTGGATTCTCTCATCAAGGCTACCATAGCTGGAGGTGGTATGTATTACCTTTTGAGCCTAAAGTATGGGTCTCTGACTAACAGGTAATTATGATCAGTGATCAATATGAGCATTAAGTGTATTATGATCCACTCCTAAAGGTCAACAAACTGACATGGAACTATTTATAGGCTTTTCCTTTTTTGTCTTTTTTTGTTGTTGTTTTGTTTTGTCTTCCTTTGTTGTTTTGTTTGGCATTGTCTTGTTTTTGCACTTATTGTGTCTGCATGTCTATCTAGATGAGATAGGTGGGATAAACAATTTGGAGATAAAACAATGGGACCAACGGTTGGGGGGGAGGGGAGGCGGGAGAAAGGAAGGGGGGTATCGTATCAGCCAACCCAGGGACAAGGGAACAAGTCATCTAAAATTGATGGAGAGAAGGGCATAGGATGCCTACTAGGGCTTAAGGGCAAAGCCCATCTGTAGACCATTGGACATCCCCTTACAGAAGGGTCACAAGAAAAAAACAAGTCAGGATGCAGTATAGAACCAATGAAACAAAAAATAAATAACTAACCAATGAAACATACATCTTTCGTTGAGTTGTAACCAAAGGGAATTGTTGAAACCCAAATGAAGGACAAACGTAATAGTGTGGGACAAGAAGAAAGCAAAGGGAAATAGAGGAAAGAACCAGAAGGCAAAGGACATTTATAGAGGTCTAAATACAGGCTTGTATAGATGTAAATTTATTTATGTCTAATGGTAGAGAAATAGATCTATGTACTTATATTTATATCTTAAGTATTAAGGCAGCAAATGGACATTGGACCTCCACTCAAGTACTCCCTCAATGCAAGAACACTTTGTTCTAATAATCCGGCATTCTGTGATGCTCACCTTCTCGACACTATTGCTGAAGACAAACGTGTGCATAAGCAAATGTGATGAAGAAAGCTGATGGTGCCCAGTTATCAAAAGATGTAGCATCTGGGGTCTTAAAGGCTTGAAGGTGAACAAGCGGCCATCTAGCTTAGAAACAACAAAGCCCACATGGAAGAAGCACACCAGCCTGTTTGATCACAAGGTGCCAATAGGATCAGGTATCAGGCATCAAAAGACCCACAAAAATCATATCAACATGAATGGGGTGTGGTGTGGCGACCCAGAGCCCATCTGTAGACAATTGGACATCCCCTTACAGAAGGGTCACATGAAAAAGCAAGGTCAGGATGCAGTATAGAACCAGTGAAACAAAAAATAACTAACCAATGAAACACATCTTTCGTTGAGTTCTTTAATTAACCCCCCCCCTCCCTACTATCATGACCTCAGTTCTACCTTAGAAATCTCACTAGACCAGAGCATGTACACTGGTACAGATAAGAGCTTGGAACACAGGGAATCCAGAATAGATAAACTCCTTAGGACCAATAATGAGAATAGAGATACCAGTAGGGGAAGCGGAAGGTGGGGGAGAAAGGGGGAACCAATCATAATCTACATACAACCCCTCGTACTGGGATGGACAACAGAAAAGTGGGTAAAGGGAGACAGCAGTTCGTGTAAGACATTGGGGAGGGGGGATGTATATATTTATAAAGGGTTCATGAGGTAGGGAGGTTGGGAGAGAGAGGAAATGAGCTGATATCAAGGGCTCAAGTAGAAAAATGTTTTGAAAATGATGGCAACATGTACAAATGTGCTTGACACAATAGATGTATGTATGGATTGTGATAAGAACTGTAAGTTCCCAATAAGATTTTTTTTTTAAAGTATATTATGATCTAGACTTATTCGTTGTATCTGAATAAATGTTTCTTCTACTTGTAGCTGTTACGAGGATACATTGAAAAGTTTGCTACAAAAGCATACAAACCTTTATTTAAAATATCAAAATGTAAAGTTACTTTTCTAAAAACAACTTTAATCTAGGTCTGCATATTTCTAAAGATAGAGTTTCCATCTCTAACCCTTCCCCAAAGAATTCAGCATTCTTCAATGCATACCCTATCAAAATGATGGTTTGGGCTCCTCAAGGGACTCAAACCATGTTCCTTTTAAATATCCTTGCCGTTTTGGGAACAACAAAAAGTCTGAAGTGGGCAGAGGGGGGCGAGATTAGGGTTTGTCTGTTGGATAGTGTAAAGCATGCAACAAAATTCTCATAGGACAATCCTGGCTACTCTCAAAGCATGAGGAAGAGGGAATCTTGATGCCACGTTCCTGGTTTTTTGCACCAGTGCAACTCAGTGTTTAACGTTCTCTTCATCGTTTGTGATTGCCTTCTGCCTTCCAGAACCTCTGATAGGATTGCCCTTTGGAATATCAAGGAACAGTTGCCATAACCTTTTGAGCTGTTCTCTTTGCTTTGAATTTCCCATCAGATCCCCTCAAAAGCTGCTGTTTGGACTGGACTGTTTTTTTGGTGGAGGGGTAGAGGGAGCCTGGTACATGGTACCCTAATGAGATTCAGACAAGTGTATTAGAACTTGTCTGCAATTATCCACTGATATAACAGACGCGTAAACATGTTTTGCTTGGGATAGACTCATACATGTAGGAACTGGAACCCTGGTATCAGTTCTTTTTGACTTACCCTCATGTAATACTATTTTTAATTTTAGCAAGTTATTTGTCTACATTTCATATATGATGCATAAAGCCTGATGTTTAAAATATTTTCTATACCTTTAAAGTACTTGGGAAATGCTCTTGAGAAGTTGTGGTACCATAATATACTTTGGCATGATAGTGGGACAGGAGGAAAGTAAAAGGAAATAGAAGAAAGAACTGGGAACCAAAAGCTATTTATAGAGGTATAAATGTATGCATGTACATATGTAAATATATTAATTTATAATTATAGGAATATAGGTCTATGTACATATATGTTAAATATTAAGATAGCAGATGGACTTTCAGCCTCTGCTTGAGGGCTCCCTAAACACAAGAACACTTTGTTCTAATAACCTGGCACTCTGTGATTCACCTTCCCAACATACTGCGAAAGATAAAATGGGTGCATAAGCAAATATGGTGAAGAAAGTGGATGGTGCTTAGCTATCAAAAGCTATAGCATCTGGGGTCTTACAAGCATGAAGTTAAACAAGCACTATCTAGCAGGGAAGCTACAAAGCGCACTTGGTAGAACCACACCAGCCTGTGTGATCATGAGGTGTCAACGGGATCAGGTATCAGGTTATCAAAAGATCCAAAACAAATAAATATGTCAATGTGAATGACAGGGATCAGCGTGCATACCCAAAGTCCATCTGTAGGCAATTGGACATCCCTTTACAGAAGGGTCACAATGGGGCCGATTCAACCAGGGTGTAGTATAGACCAGATAAGAGCTCTTGACAAATGGAATATAGGACAGTAGTGGGAGTAGCAATACCATGAGGATAGGGGGAGGGTAGCAAGGGGAAGTGGGAGAAAGGGGGAGCCAATCACAAGGTTGGACATATAATCCCCGCTCCCCAGGGGGATGACTGAGAAATGTGGGTGAAGGGAGACAACAGATGGTGTAAGATACAAAATAACCACACAAAAAAAGATACAAAATAACAATAGTAATATTGATCAAGAATTCACAAGGGTAGGAGAGGGAGAGGGAAAAAGCTGATACCAAGGGCTCAAGTAGAAAGAAAATGTTTTGAAAATGATGGCAACATATGTACAAATGTGCTTGATACAATTGATGTATGAATTGTTGTAAGAGCCCCCAATAAAATGATTAATTATACATATATATTTGGAAAGAATGAGATAATCAGATTGGTCTGGATTAAAGCAGGTGAGAAAAGATGTAAGTTAGTGAGTGGTTCTTGGTCTTTTCTTGAGAATCTGATGGACACTGGTTCCACTTATAAAAATGTGCATTTATATAAATTGTTTTAAAATGTCATGGACGACTGGGGAGAATAAATGGACTTGGTGTCGATCTTTGTTTCACCCTGGTGTGCTGGAGTGATCCACTGGGGTTACAAAAACAGATATAACCCTACACTTTATCTTGGTTTACAGACTATAGTATAAAAGTTTTCTCAAGGGGACACTGAGTAGTTTTGTTTTTTTTCCTGAAAAGGGATGGTAGGCCAAGTCAAGTTTGAGAACTGTGATGTATAAGCTATTTCAAGAAGGGGGGTGGGGGGAAGGGGCCAGAATGTGACAAGGAATTTTTATTTCATTCATTTCATTATTTGTATAATTACTCTTTTTGCTTAAGATATTAAGTGTTGAGACATAGCCAGCTAAAAAAGGTTTGTTGTAATACCTGGTGTGTTTTATCTCATTCTAGGTGTGATCCCTCACATCCACAAATCCCTGATTGGAAAGAAGGGACAGCAAAAAACTGCATAGAGAGTTGTTTTCGCCAGCCCTCTTCCTCCCTGTCATTGTACTGTAACGGACAGAGAAATAATGGGGATATGCAGAATTTTTAAGAGTTAAATGGAAAAGCATAGACAATTACTGTAGACATGATAAAAGAAACATTTGTATGTTCTTAGATTTCAAAGTTTGATAAAAGTATCTTTTCATGTGGCAAAAATTATGTGTTGATTGGCTAGGTTTCTTCTTTGTATTTTATACCAAAAAATTGATAAAACCATTTTTTACAAAATTAATTTGTCTCAAAATTGTTCTGTTTGTGATGCATTGAAAAGATTTTTCACAGACATTGAAACATTTTAAACTCTTAAATTGGTTATCACATAAATTAGGAATACTGCTTCATTGTAATTTAGTAGTATATTTCATTTAGTCTTCAGATGCTGTTAATTTTTTTTAAAAGATGCTGGTAATTATAATGTACACCATTATTTTATATGCTACTAAGAAAAACTCTGCCAATTAAACCATGATATGCCATCAATTATGGGATACATCCCAATTTCAGGGATGTTGGAATGTGAGAAAATATGATTCAGGATTGGTGAGATAGAATTGCAAACATTTATTTATTGAGCACTTCTCATGTGCCAGGTTCTTTGTTGAGTACTTTATAAGCTTAATCTCATACCAATGAATTAAGAAATTTTTAAGCAGTATGTCAAAAGATATACTTTAAGCTAGTACCTAGAAAATGGCAGAGCTAGGATTCAGGCCAAGATTTGGCTTACTCTAGAGCCCACACTCTTAGCTAGAATTGAAGTTAAATTTATCGAAGTTTCCTCTCTGATTTAAAATTCCAAAATTTTAGTAGACTTTTAGGAATTTGAATTCTATAAGTATGGGTTTAAAACTATATTAGCATTTTAAAATACCACTTCCCTGTCCAGGTTTATGTATGTATTAATTTTTTAAGCTGCATTCAATCAAAATAATTTTCATTCTTAGTTACTTAGATTTGTATTTTCTCATCTATTGTGAAAAAAAAAAATGACCGGAGATGCATTGCTATATATGGACACTTTATATTTCCCCTTTTACTAACTTTTTTTTCCTAACTTAAAACCCTATTTGGTATTCTGACTTTTGAAACAAACTGTCAAAAACATCATAGCACTAGCCTATGGTGTTCTCACCAAAGTGCAGTTGTTTTACTGCACTGTCACTGGATGCCTGTGTTTTCTGTTGAGACTTACTTGGGCTGTTTCATTGAAATTTACCTTACAAGTCTGGAATAGTACCGAGGCTTAATTTCTTTACTAACTATAGTAATACTTATAATACAGTCTCCAAAAATCATTTCTTGTCAGCTTCTAAGTAACAAGTTATGAGATTAAACTGTGTTTTAAGATTTAACTGAGCAATTATATGCCAGTCCATCAAAGAACTCTGTCTGGGAGTCTTCAGTAAAGAAAATAAACTTTTAAATATCTTACAATACAACACTATCAAAACAAAATTCTCATTTAAAAACACTTTATTATGAAAAATTTCAAAAATAAAGACTAGTAATACCCTATGGTTTCCCTAGTCGTACTCTCACCTCCCAGACATCATGTACACATGCCAGTATTATCTCTAAAGGTACGGCACTTTTTAGAGCATGATTAATACTCTTATTGGGTGGGGGGCAGTCGAATAGTTATTACTTAGGTTTTCTTTATTCTAAATTTATTTTACAATTAGTTTCTTTGAGTCGGGACCCAGATAAATCTATATCTTGCATTTGATTGGTAATTGATATCTTACATTTCTTTTTGTTTACATGGTTTCTCCTTTATGTTTTTCTTATGGTTTAAATTTTTAAAGAAACGGCATTGTCCTGTAGAATCATCCCTCACTATCAGTTTTACTGAATGCATTCTCATGGCATCATTTACATTTCCTGTGCATTGATGGTGAGCTCAAGCGGGTTTTGTTTGTACCTTTTTGTGTTTATTTCAGCAAAATATGAAGTTCTCTATTAGCTCCTCCCCTAAGTGGTCGTAACTGCTGTTAGTGATCATTGCTTAGATCCAGTATTCTATCTAGGACTGTAAATTGATGATATTCTGGTGTGTTTTTTTTTCTGAAATGATTATCTGAATTTATGTATAGAACTCATGTTCTTTAGTTTACTAGACAGGATAAAATGAAAATTTCACATTCTGGTTGTTTCCGTGCACATATTTTAAAGATGTTTATATATTGATGAGTCAAGACCCACCACTACCACCATTATTTAAGTTTTTAAAAATTCGTAGAAACCACAACAACAATAGAAGAGGCATAATATCAGCCTTCCTTTGGCTTGAATTCATTCAAATAAGGGTATTTTACTAGTATTTTCTACTTTAAATATCCAATTTTGATAGTGTAGTTATTGGACTCTGTTCCTTGGACTGTATGTTTTGTTTTGATCTTTGCTCTCTCCTAGTGTTATCCCTTGTGTACTTCAGCCCTGATTTCACAATTATGGTCTGTCTGGCTAATCCATGCCCCTTACTACTTCTGTATTTTAAAGCATGCTCTAGTCATATTTCATTTCTAATACATAAGTATGTGTCACTTTTAGAAAGTCACACCTAAAACTTACTTAAAATCACTCCAGAACTGCATTTTAAGTAGTACAGCACAGATAAGTACAGTAATACTTCAGAGAAGGGAATGATTTTTTAAATAGAAGGTGAACTTGAACTGGACTCAGAAAAATGGGTTGTATTTGGACACTTAGAAAGACCAGGCTGTAAAGACGCAGCATGAATACTATTTTGGGAATTAAAAATGGAGAATGTGGGGAATCATGACAAAACAGCTTATGTGATTAGAAGTTATGAGAAATGTGAGACTGGCCTTTGGTGCTGTGTTTGAATTTATTGTAATGATTTTGGCAGCATCTTAGAAAAAATTTCAGACGTACAAGAAAATGAACATAATTACACAGTGAACCGTTTATATACTCACTATCTAGAGTATATGATGTTAACAATTTTCTGTGTTGGCTTTAATGCTCTACTTACCTATACCAGATTGTAGGAGTTCGCCTTGACTTTATTACCTACTTTTCTTTTACTAAAGAAAGAAAAATACTCATCGATCAGATAATGTCATATTAAATGATTAGCATTTTTAGTGCTCTAGTAAAACTTAAGTTGCATTGAGATGTTACTAATTGGAGCTGAGGAATGGGCTGGCTGGACTGATAGAATGGACTGAATGAGATTAACTTTTCATGATATGAATAAGATTTTAAGCATATTAAATCTAAAAGTAGCTGTTTGAAAATAGTATGTTTTTTTGCATGGTGTAGTAGTTTTCTGAATAGTTAAGATTTTATATTTGGCATTTTTGATAATCTACATTGCTGCAGCTACTAAGTGATATTTTGTGAGTCTGAGCTTCCGAACACTAAGGAAGGATGAGAATAAGTACAAATAAACAAAACCCATTGCTAATTGAGTTGGTTGCAACTCAGGACCCCAATGTGCTACAGAGTAGAAATGCTTTATAGCATTAATCCATATTTGGATAACACCCAGTGTAACTGCTGTAATTAGCTAGCTACCTAGCAGAATACCACACAGGGAGAGGGCATTTTGCTTTGTGGGGTCTGGTCTGTAGATGTCCACAAAGTAGAGGATAAATAAACAGTAATGGGCAGCGTTTTGGCCATGTACCTTTGCTCCCGTTGTATTAGGTTACATAATAAGGAGGGGCTTTGTGGATATAGTTGTCTACTAAGTGGGGATACAGCCCTGGATTATCTGGGAGGATCCAGAGAAACCACATGAATATTTAGAAGCAAAAGAGGAAGACATTTGGAGGGAGGACTCAATGCTCCATTGCTGTCTTGAAAGTGGCAGAATCACATGAAAAGGAAATTCTGTCAACAACCAGTAATCTTGGGAAAGAACCTGAGTCCAGCCACACTGTATTTCAGGTGGCTGACCTCTGAAAACTTGTTTTGAACTGCTCAGTGAGGTAATTTGTATGGCAGCAGGAGACAATTAAAACAGGAATATGTGAGGTTTGCACTATTGGACCACTTAAAGGTAGAGATGTCTGACTTGTTACATATGGAAGAGTTGGGCTTTGCGGTTCTTGTGTCCATGGTATGTTCTCCCAGAGCTCCGTACATCTGGGTTCAAGTCTTTGGCTGGTCCCTAGCTGTGTGGCCTCAGGCAAGTGATTTTAACATCTTGTAGGCTTCTCTCTACTCCTGAAATGGATATAACAGACTACCTCACATAGTCTGATCAAAAGGGGGATGCATGTAAAATACTTAGCAGTGGTTGGAGCCCAGAGTACTTTAAGACAGTTACTGACAAACATTTTTCTTTTCACTTCCCAGTCAACATTTCAGGCAGAGCCTTTACCACCAAAGGCATAACAAGAACATCTCTCGCCACAGAGTCATTGCCTACTCATAGCAACCCTACAGGGCAGAGGAGAACTACCCTTGTGAATTGCAAAGACTTACCTTTTACAGAAATAGAAGGCCCAGCTTTCTCCCACTGAGTGGCTAATGGTTTTGAACTGCTGACATGAGTAGCAGCCCAACACATAATCACTGTGCCACCAGGTCTCCTTAATAAGAACGTAGGCAGATTAAACACATAATTAAGAATTTTAAAACAAACTCTCAGGCCAATTATTTGGAGGACACCTTTAGAAAAGTACATGGTCAACAATAAGTCATGTTGATGAAGTAATGTGTGACTTAGTGTTGAAAAGTAAATCCATGACATCTGTAGAGATGTCATTGATACTATGTCCTGAAAATGGAAATATTGACTGCATTTTTTTTTCATGAAATAGTCAAAAAGTATACCAGTTACTAGTAATAAGTGAACTAATAAGGGAAAAAAAGAACAGTTAACAGAAGTGCTAACTTAGTTTATCTTTCCTCAAGCACTCAAGATTCAAATTGGTGCGTGAAGGAAATTGTAGATCACTATGTCCTTTGTGATATATGGAAATTAGTGAAACAAAAAACATGAAGTATTTGAATACCAAGGATTAACTGTACTTGGTTTGTGCTACAAAGACTCCTTGTGGGTCTAAGATATCTGTACATAATGGACATTCCCTTTAGGAACTTGTCTCAAAAAAGCAGAGGTGGGCCCACCTTTTTAAATAAGAAGCAGAAACAAGCCTAACTCTGTTTGTGGCTCTGTAGACTAGTTAGTAAGGGATAGCTCAGATCTCTTTCTGTTGATACTGTAATATCAGTTGGAGATTGTTTTTATTAGAATTTGTGAATCTTAATCTGATGAATTATATAAAAGCTTAATACAATTTTTAAAACATTTAAACTCTGCAAGTAAATTCAACACAGCTATTGTACAACAAAAATCTCAACACCCAGCATTAAACTTGTTCTAGTTTGGCCCCAATTCTTCAGGAAATCTTAATTCATCCAAAACTCTAAAATCTTCATCCCGGTAAAAGATGGAGACCTGCCGACTTCCTCTTGCTCTTTCATAGGAGTTCTTTATGGCAGTTTCTGATCTGAGAACTTTAGGCGCTAACCTCTGCAAATGCTTATAGTATGTTTGAGTTAAGAAGGCTATATACAGTGTTGTTAGATTCCAAGATTGTCTGACAACCTAGTCTGAACTTGGTGTATGCTTTTGAAAATAAGGCTGTTTCTTTTAGAATTCTTTTAAAATTCTCTGTAAATAAGACCTTTTTGCTCCTTAATTGAAATGTATTTCAAATGTCTGCGTTTGTGTATAGTGGAAATCATTTTATGAACAGATGACTAAGATTAGGGTTGACCACTCAGTGGTTCCCAAACTATTTTTTCATAGATGTTTCATGACCTGAATTGATGTGTTCCATAATAAAATTGAATAATGCCCGTATTTTTCCCCAAATGGCAGAAAGAACAACAGTTTATTGTCTTGTCAATTTCAACATTTTCTTGAAAATTGCATGTCTTGCCAGAGTGAAAGGCTCACACACTAATGTTCATGGAAATGGTGAACAGCTTTCATTGGTTTCCTGGTGTGCTTGATTTGATCTTTTATTGTATGTACCTTCGAATCATGTTTTCTGTTGGAAAGTTCTCATTTATATATGATGGAATTAAATTTATTCTTTGTAAAAAGAGGTGGACTTCGCTGAATAATCTCTGCAACCTTTAGAAATTATGAGAAAGTGAATTTCTCAACCTTGAAGATTCTCAAGCAGAGGCTACCAAGAGTGCTAGGACCTATTCACTATGGGCCAAGCATTCTGTTAAAACGCACAGCCCGCCTCTTGGTAATCTTCACAGTTGATAGCTTCAGTATACAGACGACGAAAATGAAAGCCTTAAAAGAATCCAGAGTTACATCTGAGATGTGAAAGCCTAAAAAGAATCCAGAGTTACATCTGAGCAGTAGGTCTGTCTGGCACCAAATCTTAGAATTGTTGTTATACAGATTTAAGTAGGGAAAGTCATAAACATTTTCTTTGGGAAATCTACCATGTACTTGATGTGCATTTATTTAATTCAATGCCCTGAATACACCTTTGAAATAAGTGCCTTGGTTTACAATAAAGAAAGTTAGATTCAGAGATTACATGGCTCTAGTTCTGCAGAGTACCATGATAGGAACTATAGTAGGTCTTACATTGAAACTATATGGAGAATGGGTATGTAACAAGTCTGGAAGAAACTATAGCTCATTGTAATGTTTCATCTATAGAGCTATGCAAGTTTTTAAGCTTAGGGTACTTTGTGCCTATGTGTCTTAGGGATTTCGAAGAAGTGCATCGTGTATGTGTGAGTGTGTGTGTGTGTGTGTGTGTGTGCGTGTATTGACTCGTCCCCCTATGAATATGAAACTAGGAAAGCAACTTCATTGACTACACAACTACTTCACAGTTATTGGCACATTCTTCCACAGGACTTCCCTCACTTCAGACACCAGCTGCCAACTCAGAGGTCCCCAAGCTACCCTTACTTCTGAACAGCTACCAGCAAATTCAGGAATTCCCAGTATCCCTTCAGGTTTAATAATTCCTTAGAATGACTCGTAGACCTCAGGGAAATGGTATACTTATGATTACAGCTATATTAGTTCTCACTGCCATTAAATTAGTTCCAACTCATAGTGACCTTAAGGGGGGGGGGGTCAAGGTAGGCCTATCCCTGTGGGTCTCTAAGACTTAATAGGAAAAAACCTCTTCTTTGTCATGAGGAATAGCTAGAGGCTTCAAAATACTACCCTTAGGGTTAGAAGGATGCAAATCAGAAGTACAGTGGGAGAGGTACATATCCAGTGAGATCTGCTGTGTACTCTACCAGGGTAGTCAGGATGTACTATCCTCCCTGCACGTTGTGCAAAGTAATGTTAAAGGAAGCTTGATGCCTGGGTCTAGCTTTTTTATTGGGTCTTTATACATATGCATTATTGAGTCAGCCATGTGATTGAACTTATTCTTCAAGCCCCTTCTCTCCCCAGAGGTCATGCTGATACTGCATGTCTCAAATGTTCCCTCCTCTAATCCCATGAATGGTCTTCCTAGCAAGCCCAGCACCCATGCTGTCACAAGTATAATCTTAAGTACTGGTCCACTTCATTAGCATAAATTTGGGTGTGGTTTGAGGGGCCTACAATAAAAAAAGACATTCTCACCAAAAATCAAACTCATTGTCATCAAGGTGATTCAGACATAGCAATCCTATAGGACAGTAGAATTGCCCCTGTGGGTTTCTGTGACTATGAGAGTAAAGACAGGAAATTCTAAGGATTTAAAGACTAACTCCCAGAAATCCAGCCATATTATTTAATATCATGGCATCAGTCTGTGTTATACCAAAAACATTAGCTAGCAGTAACGGGAACACAAGGTAATAAGACTAAGTACAAGTATGCTCATTTTAAAAGACCCTCACCATTTTCTAGGGTCAGAGAAAAATCCAATGCACTAAAGATCCTTTATGTTCCCACAACTGGATGAGTGTGTGAGGTACATGCTCCTAGGTGAGAAATTGCCCTAGAGGTTTTCTTGTTTATTATCAGTCTTCACCCTTCTACATACGCTGCTTTTTCTTCTTCATTTTCAATCGATGATGTCAATTTCTCAATACCTGGTAACTTTTTCTTCCTGATGGCTCTCTACCTAAGGTCTTCCAAAAGGAAAGCTACCACGCTTCTTGTTTTCATGAGTCCCTTTCAAGTGGTCACAGAATGAGTGCCAATTTGGAATTTTGTAATCTAGGAACCCTACACCCGATTCCCCCGTAACAAATAGACACTTGGTGAGTCATGTCTGCAGGTCACACATGATCCTAAATAACTATCAGCTGGGAGCCCTCATAGACCAACAAGGGCTTCTCTCGTCTTCCATCCCCTACTGAATAGTGACCAAATTCATGCTCAGGTGTTGTCTACCTTAAAATTCACCTTCCCAAAGAGCCTTGATTTTTTTTTTTTTTTAATAACTCAAAACTCTCAGCCATCAACTCTGCCTACTCATACAGACCCAATTCAACAAGGTAGAATTGCCCCTGTGAGTTTCTAAGACTAACTCTTATGGGAGTACGTAGCCACCCCACCACCACTCCTTCAACTCCCACCTTCCTCGGCGTGACTGATGGTTTCAAACTGCTGACCTTGCAGGTAACAGCCCAATGTGTAGTCACTGACTACAGGGCTCCTATGTACAAATGCAGACATGATATTAAAATACACTGCCAAATTATGATACCTGCTTTTATCTTGTGACCCAAAGTGCAAGATTTCGGGAGCTTTCTCCCACATTTTTGTTTTTTAATAAAAATATTTTCTAATAAGACACAAGATGTCTGGGCCAACATCACAATAGAAAGCCTGTTAGAATGGTGGGGTTGTTTTTTTTTTTAATGTAGGGAGCGGGGGACATACCTTACTGCAGTGCTTCTCAACCTGTGGGTCGCAACCCCTTTGGGGGTTGAAGGACCCTTTCACAGGGGTCACCCGATTCATAACGTAGCAAAATTACAGTTATGTACTAGCAACAAAATAATTTTATGGTTGGGGGTTACCATAATCTGAGAAGCTATGAAAGGGTGGCGGTATTAGGAAGGTTGAGGACCACTGCCTTACTGTAAACCACCAAGACTAGCCCTTTGACAACCTAACTTGAAACTGAAGATAATACAGGTCATCTACCCAACAGTATGTGAAAAACATCCCGAAGAATGTGCTCCCTACAACTAACTATGAGACCAAAAGAGCAACATTTGCCCCAAACCAAGCGTGAGAAGACAGGGAAAACGGACAGGAAAACCAGATAAATGGAACCAGGAAACCGAGAGCAAATAAGAGCGTTGATGCATTGCGGGGGGGTTATGACGGAAGTCATGGGACAAATTATGCTTCACTTACTGATTGGAATACACATTTGCTATGTAAACTTTCACCTGAAGCAAAATGTTTTTGTTTTTTTTAACTTAGGTAAGCAAGTTTTGAAAAAGTTGAAATGTTGGCACTTAGGTCACAAATCTTTCAAAGGTAAGTTAGATACAGGTTTCCTCTCCATACCTGTCTAAAACAACCCCTTCCAGCACATTCTGCAGGTTCATGTAGCATGGGCACTCTTGGCTATGTTTTGCGCAAGCATTCTCGATAGTTATTAACCTGAACAAATGTATAATTCGTACAAACTCAAGCTGTTAGAGAGAACTTCTTTAAAACCCAGCATTTGGTTCCTGTATTCCCATCACAAGATAATGGCTGGGTCATAGACCAAAGTGACAGAGTCTGGGTCAAAGTCAAAGTTTTTATTGAGGGGCAAGGCAATTTGCAAACAGAACACAAAATTCAAAGAATTCTGAATTAAGTGATCTAAGTAGGTGACATCCTGACCAATCCAGGGAGGGAATAGCTTCCTTAAGAGCTTCTCTGGATGTGTACTTGATGGAGATCACTATACTGGGGGCTGCATAGTTGTAAGTCATGATTTCTCTGCTTGGGGAAGGTCTGAACCAACATAAGCTGCTATAAATCTTATGAAAGAAGAAAAAATTCAAGCCTTTAGTTGCAATATTGAAGGATTGTTTGGGCCAGGAGCAAATGAACGCAGAGAAAGAGAAAGTGGAACACATCCTGGCCCACCAAGCCCTGAGGACCTGCTCAGAGCAGACAATGCACAGAGAGGACCATAGAGCCGGCCCCACTATGAGACATGACGTCCCTCACTGATCCAAAACACTACGGGGGACAACACTGGAGACATACTGTGGGAATTGTGCCCAATCTGACCCCACCACACAGGCAAAACACTAAGGGTGTGCAACAGAACAGCAAGGAGAACAGAGCAAAGAAGTCCTCAGGGAATACCAAAAATAGACTGTGGGGCAGGGCGTGGCACCCCATCAGACTCCACCAGAAAACACTCCTAAAGGTCAACAAACAGACCATTAACTATTTACAGGCTTACTCCCCCACCCCCCAGTCATTTTCTTTTGTTGCTTTGTTTTGCTCTATCCTGTTTTGTGCATATATCTCTGCAGGTCTATCTAGATAAGATAGATGGGATAAACAATCTGGAGGAGAAAACAGGACCGATGGTTCTGGGGGGCCATGGGAGAGGGGGAGGAGGGGGAAAGGAAGTGGGTGTTAACAAACCCAGGGACAAGGGAACAAATGATCAAAAATTGTTGGTGAGGAGGGTGTAGGAGTCCTGGTAAGGCTTAATCAAGGGCAATATAATCGAGAGGAATTACTGAAACCCAAATGAAGACTGAAAAGTGGGACAAGAGGAAAGTAAAAGGAAATAGAGGAACTAGGAGGCAAAGGGCATTTATAGAGGTCTAAATACAGCCATGTATATATGTACTACATATACTCGAGTATAAGCCAACCTGAATATCAGCTGAGGCACCTAATTTTACCTCTAAAACTGCATTAAAAATGTGCTGAAATTGACCCACCCAAGGGGAGGGTATTGTTTATATCTCCACAGGAGAGGGAGAGAGAAGCCAGGTTTTAACCCAATGCGCCAAGAAGTGAATACAATATACCGGCATGTATCAGGGAACCAATACAGAAGTCTGCAGGGCAGCCCCAGTCCCAACTATGTGGACACACACCCCCTCAGAAGAGTGCACTTCAGAGGACAGCACTGGGGCTCCATCT